GAAAGAATCTGTGAAGCTCGTCTTCGCGAGTATGAACCGAACTACGTACCACGCATGACCGCCAGCTCCTCACCAACGAATCCCGGCGGGGTCATCATCGCCAGTGTCCACAGACAATAGTCTCCGCCAGAATGCATGATGGGTAACGAAGAACTCCACTAGAGGCCCAGATACGAAGCATCAAGACAAATCTCACGGAGTCTCCGTAGCTTCATCGTGCATGACCGAGAACATGCGAGAGGAAAGTGCTCGAAGAGGCCTCGCCGGAAAGGAAGCGAGTCATAACAGACTTCGTTTGACTTATTCACGTCGTGGGGGTGACGAACAGCTTGGCCCGCGCAGACAGCTAAGAGGCTGCAACAGCTGTGTCGTGACTCCTTCGTTTGACCGCAGGCGCATTCTTCCTTGCAGCCGCAACAGCGAGTTGCTCGAACATGCGTTGGCGGACAACGGACAACGGAGCCGTCAGTGCCTTCAGCGGATGCTACCGCCTCTGGCAAGCCGATGCACCAAAGAAGCGGCAGCACGAGAGTAGCCCCTGTGGGACGCGAGATCGATGGGCTGATATTGAATGCCTGCCTGAAGGCAAAGCTGCGCAGCAGTGCAAGTGGCGTTTCCGGACAGTAGGCTTCTGCTGCCGCGCCACGTGGCATCCCAATGTCCCGGACCCGATGCGTTGATCACAGCGACATTCAGAGCAAGGGGCTTGCGACTAGCCCGCATGCTCCCATCAGGGAGTCGATCCTTCAAGGGCGCAGGGCCTTGGACAAACACGTCGGCGGGCCGCCTCCGAGCAGCTCCAGGGCCCGGGAGTACACACCTCTCACACCTAAGTTATCGCCACTCGCAGTATAATACCTGAGGAGCATTTTTGCATGTCCCAATTTCGCTTAGGCTGTCGCCCTACGATTATGGCAAGGATGCCCTTTATGAGAAGGACACCCGGGCGCTGATGGAGAAGATTTCGTGCCTCGGCGAGTTGCCGAGTAGGGGTGCCTTTGCAACCTCTCGTGGGCGATGAGTTTGCTTTGATTATAGCTTATCCTACAACAATGTGTACTAACACGTCTACCTAACAGTGTCTTAGGAGGGTCCATGGCCACCAAGTTCGGTCGGTTTTTTCATGCGAGAAAATGAGCCCGATCCACGTGCAAGCGCGCTCGCTCTCTTCTGCAAGGACGCAGGGTAGTGTAGGAGCCTGGCTAATTCCCAGTATCAGTCCTTACAGTTCCTGTTTATAGTTATATGTACTAGAGTATGCCCCAAGCCCTACTCGTGTTCTAGTTGTTGAGTTGAGGCCTTTGTCTTACAGCCTCGGAGATGTCGACTGGGCAAAGCAGCAGCGATCCCGAAAACGCAGGTTCTCGCATGGCGGACCGGAATACGATGCCAAGTACCCTGATGGCATTCCCACGGCCATCGACATCACTCTCAAGAGTGGAAAGGCGAGGGTCGTGGTGATGAGCACGAAGTAATGAGCGCGAAAACCCCTACCCCGAAAGCCTTCATGCCTTGCTCGGGCATGCGTGCATGATCTTGAAAGCAACGTTGGTCTGAAAAATGGTGGCAACACCCCCTTGTACTCCCGAATACTACAACACACCCCAAAGCTTTATTCTTAATGCGACCACCGCAGGTCATCTCCAGTGGCATGGCTTCCAGACGGCAATTGAGTGCAAGAGTGCAAAAGTACATTGCTCCTTCAGGGTGTCCACTTTTTTGTTCGGAGGTTGGAGGCGGGGCATCCTATGCGATGCCGCTTTCTGCATGGGCTATGGCACAGGACTTCCGGAAAAGAACTAGGTATGATACATTACAGGCAAGCATCTAGCCATCCATTCGTGTTTACATACCTACATACCTACACGCTTACATCCATGCATCCATCCATCCTTACATACAGTTCACACGTACATACGTAGATACATACAGACAACTACTTCTCCATATTACATAGATGCACCTCTCTCTCTCAACAAATAAATGAGTGAATCTATATATACATATATATATATATACATACATACACACACGCACACACGCAGACACACACACGAACGCACACTGCTTCCGCCGATAGCCGCCATGTGAGAGCTCGTTTCGGTGCATCGCAGTGTCCCCGCCTAGGTGATGTATCCCTCAGGGCATGCGCGAAATACCTCTGCAGACTTGAAGAAGATCCTGCAGCACAAGAACCGAATGTTCCCTGGATTTGGGGCTTAGGGTTTATAGGGTTTGGTCTCAGCCTTTGCCATAGCGTAATCCTAGTGTTGATTGTAGGCACAATAGCTTCAGAGGTTTGAAAGAGATGTCAGGAAGGCTTCTGATGCAGTGAGTTTAGGGTTCCAGGGTCAGTCAGGCTTGACGTTTCGAATGCCTGGGAGGGAGAGAGAGAGAG